ATAAATGCTCCAATAAAAAGAAAAAAATGAGATATGTATTAGCTTCAAGCGGCTGCAGCATAATGCCTCGGCATAGTTCACGCGATTTGTCGCCTCGCGATTGTACCGACACGACAACTGTTACGAATTCATTGCATGTCGATCACCTTTCATTTCAGTTGTGATAGTAAGTCGCGATTAGTCGTGTCGGAATACTATCACAACCATGCAGCGGCATGCAAGGCACTTGTAACAGTTGTCTAGTTGGGAGAATCGCGAGGCGATGAAATCGCGTGGACTATGCGCGGGGCCTAATTGTCTATTTTTACTTACTCCTATTCCTTGCTCCAAGTAGTTTTCTTGAATGTCTTGGATGTCCTGATGATGACCAAGGCAATGAAATCGTCGCACTGAAAAATTAAAGAATTAAATGAAATGTAGCGGTTGAAGGCATGATTAAATGTTCAGTACCTAGACTGCAAGCAGCGTCAAAAATCTTAGCGACAATGCCGAACATATTGCTATGAAACTCCTAAACTAATTATCAATTAACAAAAAACATGTCAAGAACTTCAACTCATGGGAATTATGCCAAAAAAGCCGAATTGCTAGAGAATATGACAAGCAGCAAAGATAATCTATACCAAATGACTCCTGTAAAGAAGAAAAAACAATGACCTAAGAGGGTAAGTAACTGACCTATGTCCCTCATGGTGCTAACCATTCTTCTCACCTTCGCTCCATTTCTTGGCTCCTCAGGTACGATTCACAGATGAGTGATTCACTCAACATAATCCCTGAGGGCAAATCCGGCAATCATCGACGAAATACGTTCAGAATCATTCTTTCAAAGAGCAATATAACTTTAATTGTTGAAATATGTTAGAACTACTCTTGCAGACACGTTTAGAAGTGAACATTAGAATCGCAAAAACGCAAGAGTCAGCTAGTGGCCGAAAATGCAAACTCTAAATATGATATCCTTACCTCAAAGAGCAGAAAGAAAGCAGAAGCTCCATCTATGAAGGCAATCTTCGCGAGAATAGTAGAAAGTGCATTATGCCATTACCACCTCAATATATCGATCGTGACTGATCTGGAAGCTAGTTATCGGGTCCTAGCACGATCTCCTGCGCGTTGTGACCACATGTGTGAAAAGAAGCCACACACTTGCACTGCTTTGCGAAGAAGGCAACATGAAGAACTGCTTTGCGAAATAGAACATGGACTTCTGAGTCTTCAGGACGCGGAAATTGTGACAGGTATGTTCATTTGTTCTTACCAAGTCTGGGGTAACTTCAGAAAGCTCAATGTCCCAGGTTTGACCTACTGTTGGTCGTGATTCGCAATGTGAGGAAATAAGCTGGACTGGGAAAGCCGTAAGACTATGTTTTGTAGCATCTTTGAGTACTAGTTAAGAATTTCAAGTTATTCATTTTCAAGTTATGTAGTTCTTGATCTTGCATGCTCAAATCCTCGTGGAGGGAATGTGTCCAATGTGTCCTTTTCATCCTTATCTTTGAGCTGTATAATGGGCTTCCAAATTCATACATTTCTTTCATAAGGTGCTTCTTTTTTGCTTTTATTTTTGTCATGCTGGTTCTTTCATGCTCGGAACGAAATGGACAGGTTCACAGTAGAGCCTTTTCCTATTCGACCAAATCTCTGAGTAAATCTCTTCAAAGGCTTTTGTCATACTACAGAAATGTTTATTATCTTTTCAAAAAACGGAAAATGAAAACCTGTGGATTCATGAGATAAAGTTTTGAGAGAATGGGTTACTTATGGCAATGTTAAATCTGAAAGGTCACAACAAACAATACCCTGAAAGGTCACAACAAACAATAACCCTGAGATGCCGAGCTCAATAGATGTAACCGGATGAGATTTTTTTTCGTAAATATTTTCAGAAACTCAAGCATCTCTGGCGAGGTTTAACATATCAAAAAAGTGAAAATACTGTTCACACCACAGTTTTCTGGGCTCTGGGCTGTCCAGCCTTGTTGAAGTCGTCATGTTTAGGCTGTTTGGGTTTGTTCATGTCTTCATCTACGAGAAGCTTTCGCACAGCACTTCTGGTTCTCATTCTCGTCACTGCTTCTCTCTTCTCCTTTTCGGCTTGTTCGAGAAGGCGTTGTCCAACAGTTTTCTTCTCTTTCTTCGTTGATTGTACTTGAATGTGTTGTTTGACAGTCAGAAGACGAGATCTCAGGAAGACGCTCTTCATAATGGAAATTTTGCGCTGTTCCAGAAGTTCCTGTAAAAGCTATTTCATAAACCAGCAGTCTGTCAGCATCTTGTTTTATTTGAAACTAACGATTTTCTCGTCTTTGCACACTGCACTTTTTGCAAAATTGTTGTAGAATGCCTGAAGTTCATGTTCTTCTCTGAGACATGCACGAATCTCTATTTTTGCTTTCTAAAATTATTTTTATTGATATTTGATCTTAGAATGTGACAAAAATGTTCATCAAAACCTGCCTGAAGCTGGTTATCGTTGAGAATGTTAAGAGATTTGTAGAACATTAGGTTAAGCTTAGGACTATCATCCGGCACTGGCACAATCCTTGGGCATGGTGATCCTGGTATTGGCCTCATTTCAGCAAAACTTTGGATTTGGGAATTCTGGATTTACCTAAATGACTAGGGCATATAGTAAAATTCCTTGAAATTATCCAATTCATTTTGT